TGAGATCAAGGTGAAGATTTTTCACTATAGTTACACCTCAACTCTGGATTAGGTCCTAGGTAGTAGATGACCTTTAGCTGTTAGAACTATTTGGTTTATAGAAAGTTATCTATAAGGGGATTGAGCCATTGACTTAGAGAGCTGAAGAGACCAGAAATGTTGAGTCTCTAGCAGAATACTTTGCTTTACATAAATAGACATTGTAATTCGTTCTTTTCATTTCTTCCACATACGTATCCCGAAATTTAGAGTAATGGATGTTCCAATATTCTTTGATATCTGATAGGAGTTGGAAAGTCACCTTAACTAGGATGCAACATGAAATGTGTGTTTTCTGTGTTTAAGACTCTTTGGGAGATGTCATTTCCTATTCTACGGTTAGGATTAAAGAATAGGAATCCTATTCCTATATTCTTCCTTTCATATCTCTGCACCACTGAAAAATGAAAAAAGCTCTGACGCTTCATTTTAGATATGAACATTTCAGTGTTTAGTGCTGAAATCTGCTTCTTTAATGGTTGTTTTAGGATCTGTTATATTATTGTATCCCATTAAAATGGTTAAATTCTGACTCCTTTTATGGAATCTGAGTTTGCTGGCAAAAAAATATCTTAATTCTGACACTGATCCTGGAACATCTTTGCTTTCTCTGACACCATGAAAACAAATATTCTTGACTGGACTGCTTTTTATATGGGAGAGAGATGAGAAAAGCAATGAAAATCTTCCAATTTATTGGCAGTTCATATATTTCATGTTTAAACAAAATATGTTTAAACAAAATCTCTGAATACATAATATTTTGACATGTGGTTCAGGCTAAGTTAGAAGCCTGACAACATAGTAGAATTTATCATTAGTGTATAAACATGTAGGAATAAAACAGCAATTAATATAGTTTCTCCCAGTTGGGTATACATTGTAGATACTTTTGTCTATTCTGCAGAATCTACTAACTTGAATGTAGCATGTTGCAAACTTTCTTGGCACAGTAATTTATATTCCTCAGTTTGCAACTGAAGAGTCAACAAAAAGCATATGCAATCCAGTGCAGGGAAAGTTTATTCCATAATCTCTACAGTAGGAATGAAATATGGTAAGTTTCTTTGTCAAATGTAATATAGCCAGGTCTTCCTTTTTTAACCAGTCATCAAACTGCATTATTCCTGATCTCTTCTGAAGAAATATTTTGAAGCTTCTTAAATCATATTTAATCAAATGAGACAGATTTTAGTTTGAAAATACCAGGATATTTTAGAATGTCCAATAAAATTAAATTAAAGGATGCCTAATGATTCAGATTTATTTTAGCCAGTTAAAATTTGAGAACCCGAATTATTTGCAGGGCAGATTAATTGTAAATGTCATAGTAGCCCTGTTTAGTTTGAACTTGCTCTGAACAGAAATGTCAATGATACAGGATTTCATTCATTTGTCATGCTTGATTGAAAAAAAAATAACTGGGGTTAACTACTTTTATTCTAGTCCTATAAAAAACAGTGAGTTAGTTCCATAAATTGTGAAAAAGGTTCATAAGGCTCATGTGGTAGGAAATTATGATAGTTTAATTGTAAACCTCTTAGTCATCTTGTGTCCATGATCTTCAGTGAATTCTTTTTTTTTCTGTTTGTGCCAGACATAATATATTGAGATTGGTTTTTTTTAAAGATTAAGCCAGTGGTGAAATCCAATTATTTTTACTACCGGTTCTGTGGGCGTGGCTTGGTGGGCGTGGCAGGAGAAGGATACTGCAAAATCCCCATTCCCTCCCCACTCCTGGAGGAAGGATATTGCAAAATCTCCATTCCCACCCCACACTGGGGCCAGTCAATGGTGGTATTTGCCGGTTCTCCAAACTACTCAAATTTCCGCTACCAGTTCTCCAGAACCTGTCAGAACCTGCCAGATTTCACCCCTGGATTAAGCCCATAATCATATTTGAAAAACATCTTAACAGCCTTAAAATCATAAGGCACTTGCAAACATAATTTTAAGAGTTTTAATAGAAGAGCACTCATACTTAGCCCAGAATTGTATAGATATTTCACATTCAGATAATTCATGTTGTGTAAGAAATTCCAATATGTGTCTGTATATATATATATACAAATACATGCACACACAGATGTATATGGAAAACATGTTCAGAAACTCATTACATCCTTTTCTCAGTTTTTCAGTTATGAAAATGTCTTGAGAAAGATGTAAAGGTAAAGGTAATGTAGGGTGTGTTATGAGCTGATTGTTCCAGAACTTAAATTATACTACCATATAGTTTTGGACAATTCATTTACTAGAATGTTTTGAGTTCCACATTATAGACTATTGTAGACGTAACGTCTGCCACTATACAATCAGTTTTAATAGATTGAGTGGCGTACTCTTTCTGGAAATGTTCATTTTGATCCATTTTCACCTGTTAAATTGCAATTAGATGGTTACCTGGATCTCAATATTGACAAAAGGATCTAATTATATGGAAGATGCTGGGATTTTTACTTTAGGTTAATTATTGAATGATAATCATGATTTTTTTCCCCCAAATTTTTTGGATGTATTCACAATTATAACATCTACTGACATAGTGATTTGTTGTCAGCTTCAGAGTAACCTTCATTATTAAAAGTGATTGCCAAATCTGATGAGACTAACCAACCCACCATTAATTTTTAGAAATACCTGTCAGCAAATCAGTTCAATATATAAATATTAAAGTGAGTGGAATAAAGAATGAGAGATCTTCATTTTGTCTAAATCAGTGTTTCTCAATCTTTTTTTCACCCTTGGCCTCCTTCTGACCACCCCCTTGCCCAGGTCCCATTGTCAGATAGAGACATGGGTCAGTAACTGGTGCATTTTCTGGCATCAATAAGATGGCATTGCAGTATAATACACTTTGCTTTTGTCTAGCCCCAGTTACATGATTTTCACCTATGTCCCTTTGAAATATTCCAGGGCCCCCAAAGACTACAGGTCCTTGATCTTTGACCATAATTGAGCCCAAAATTTCTGTTGCTAAGTGAGACTTAAATGAGTTTTGCCCCATTTTACGACCTTTCTTGTCACATTTGTACAGTGAATCACTGCAGTTGTTAAGTTAGTAAGATGGTTGTTGAGTGTGAATCTGGCTTCTACGTTGACTTTGCTTGTCAAAAGCTCACAAAAGGTGATCCCATGATCCCTAGGACACTGAAACTGCCATAAAGATGAGTCAATCGCCAAACATCTGAATTTTGATCATGTGACCTTAGGCATGCTGTAATGGTTGTAAGTGTGGAAAATGGTCACAAATCACTTTTTTTCAGTGCTGTTGTGACTTTGAACGGTCACTAAATGGACTGTTGTAAGTTGAGGACTATTTGTATATGGCCCCTGCATGACAACCACTGGTGTAAACCATCAGAGACTGTTGATAATTTGAATATTCACCATACCATAAGATGGTATCCATGGTCAAGTAATATCTTCCTTGGAGCAAAATGACACAAAGCAATGAACAAGTTTATGACAAATCCCAGAACACGGATCATGGTTTTTTTTTTTCTAAACATAAAACACAATCAAAATACAGGTGCTATATAAGCTTCTAATTGATTGTACAAATTAGTTATATGCAACTTCATATTGCAATTTTGATGTATTCCTGAGTTAATAGCATTGCCTTGTACTTGAAGGACTGATTTCTGTAGTAAGGAGTTTTCAGTCTATCTCATTTCCCATCCCAATGTAGAGCATATTGTCATGAGAAAGGAGTCCTAAGACAGAAATTTAGATGGTGGCAGTGGCTTGGCCTTATGATAAACAAAAAACTCAGAAAAACCAGGAATTTATCCATCGTCATCATCACCATCATCGTCATTATCCTTTAGTAGAAGAAAGGGTATATATTAAGCATAGGCATTGGAAGATGCAATAAAAATGTTCTAACTGACTAGCATGCAAGATCTTATCAACTGGCTGTTCTTTGTCTCCAGCTATTTGTCAGAGAATTCAATGGATTGGCTGGTGGTTTTTGAGAAGTTCTAAGCACATACGGTAGTGATTATACAAATACTTTCATCAATACTGTACCCAGATGACTACATAAATCTAGAAAGATTCAGAACAAACTTGATCCACCTAAGGTACATTGTAAAACTGATTTAGAGGAGTAAGGGGACTGAAAGCCTGATAAATAAATCAGCCATCTTGCTATGGCTAAACTGCTCTGACTTTGCCCAGTGCCTGTTAAGAAGACACCTGGGAACATCATAGAAACCACCTTAAGTGCTATGATTCAAGAAACATGTAACATAAATGTACTAAATAAAATAACATAAGGGCAAAACATGAAACAATACTGGCCTGATACTGTAATTACAGTATTTCTCTCAGAAAGCTGCAGAACCTGCTGAAGGATTTATTTAAAAACTTGAATCACTAGAATAGCACTACAGATTTTAGGATAGGTTCCTTCCTCCTACATTCATATGTTTGCAAAATTTCATAGTGTCTATTCATTTTGGACCAGAAAAGAATTTTGCAAAATTCTTTAGTTGAATACACAAGGTTTATTAGTGATGACAGTAGCATGGGAATCACTCTTTTATTGTTTCACTTGTCACTTTTATAACATTCATCTCTATAGATTTTTCTTGCCACAGTTATCAATTTTATTCTCAGATAGACAATATTAATGGGAAGGAGAACAAGGGACAGTTATCCTGCCCACGCAATACTGGTCTTTTAAATATTTTACAGCAATAATATGGGGCAGAAAAAAACAGAAAAAACAACAACTATATTGTACAAAACAGTAACTGTAGATAGGAGTAGCTGCAACAAATCCAAACTTGCTTTGAGAGAGACTTTATTGTTTTTTCAGGTTTCACAGAAGGACTAAGTTGTAGGCACTTTACAGATGAAGAAAGAGAAGGTCATAGGTTTTCATAAGCTCAATGAATTATGTGTCCATCATAATGATGGACATATAATTATGTGAATTCTTCACAGTGATGAATAAGTCCAAGAAGAAATGGAATAGGATAGAGATGTAGATGAAGATGAGATAGGATGAAGACCTGGATGCCAATCATCTTGGCCTGCAAGCTACTTCTAAAATTACATAAAGAAAAATATCATTATAAAGGAACTTGACAACATTAAATATTGACTTGATTCTCAGGGGTTGTGGGGGTAGGTATTCTACTGTTAGTTCTGGTTTGGAAACTTTTCTTAATTTTTTCCGGCACACTCCATCTTTCCAAATTAATTGATATTAGAAAATTCATTACTTAAGAGATTCCTGGGTTTCCTGCCAATGAATATCTTCCCTCATGTCATTCCATGCATCAATTTGGAGAAAATCAACAATATTTATATAAGATGCCGAAGATGGCACATTTAAGTTGGTTGAATTTTATGAAATGAAATCCTGAAACCAAATTTGGACAACTCTGGTTTGACCTCAATAACAGACATGGATTGAAAATCTTGGAGGCAGCCTCAAGTACATAGAATTAAATTATATAGATATCAGTGGGGAAGGATGAAGGACTGCCCCTTGGAAATGTGTGGTCTCACAATAAAATTTTAGAGTTTTCCTTCAGCATACTTTCTAAAACTCATTGCATATGGTGTGAGATTCCTTCAATGCTTCAGTTTGCCCACTATACAGGTAAGACTTCTATGGAAAATGTATGGAACTTTCTAGGTCATGGATAAATCAGCAGCACTTTCTCCCTCTTCCATAACTATCATCAATAGTTAACCCAATGCTTTTTGTCTGTGCAGAAAAGTCGATGCTTTAGAAAGCAAAATACATGTCTGAGAGAAGGACAGAAACATGCCCATCATTTTAATTGTGAAAATTGAAAAAGACCGCAATCAGAGAAATTCAAGACTTTTTAAAATTATCAAAAGGGAAAGAAGGTTCTGATGTTCCAAAGGATTTAGTGAAGGGCTTCATATAAAACCCTCAGATATCAGGAATGAAGTCAACTCTTCTGACCACATCATTACAGAGTAAATTGTATGTATATCAGCCATGCAAACATATAGAATTGACAAGAGGCTGATTTCTTTGTGGGTCTGTTTAAAAAGCACCCGCAATATAAGAAAGTATGCACAATTGTTACCCATCAATCCAGAGAGTTGCATGTTGCATTACCTTGCCATTTAGAACAGTTTCTTCCCTTTCTCATGATCTCATTCTGATCACTTCCAGATCATCTGTAGGTGTCCACTCTGTTGCTCATGTGTTGCAGCTGTGATTTTCATTTCACCTTTTAAGTGCAGTGTGAATCCTCCTATTTTTTATCCAAACCTTTATCTATGCTAGTTTTCTGAGCTTGAATCTACTTTCAAGAAGGTAAGCAATAGATTTTATCCATGTCAATGTTTCTGTCCTTTTTTGAAAAGCAGTGTGAAACTCACTTATATCCCAGTAGAATATGTAATCTATTGATCCCTTAGTCATCATCAAGATTGTGACGGCTGTACTTCTCAGGATTACCCTGTGACATTGGCAAATAGGAAATTCAAGTAGGATGTGAAGCTACAGCAGATGTCCATATATTTATCTGGCTAAGATAGCAGTTCAAATAAAAATGTGAATACTGAACTGGAGAAGCTTCTCGGATAAGAAGCAAAATGTTTTCAAGGAAAAAAATCAAGTCCAGTTGCCTTTTGAACAGCACTTTTGGGACAACCATGACCTGGATGACTGAGAATCTCCATAGACATCTGAATACTTGAAAATGAAATAGACCTTTTCAACTTAAAGTGATGGCCTGGCCTACCTCAGATAGGATCAAATTATATTCATTATAAGTAGCAAGCTGCTCCAGGGCCAACGAAGAAACCCACTTTTTTAATTCAATTACTGGAAGGAAGTTAGAAAGACATTAAGAAAATCTCTGCCCTAATGTATTAGGGGATAAATTGGTTCTGAAAGGGAAACACTGTTGTTGAAATTATTGTAGTACTATCTCCTTCATCTCTCACTAAATCTTGTTTGGAAAGAATTACTTTCTGTTTGAGGCTTCTGCCAAAGAGATTGACCCTTGGGTGGCTGCAGAAGACTTGAGGGAAAAGATATTTCTCTCCTCCCGATTCCAGGTTTCCTCTCACTCAGTTCCTGACATTTAAAATAGCTCAGCTATGAAAAATACAAAGACATCAAAACCTACAGTAGCCACTCGGGAACACTCTGAGTCACCTCAGGAGAAAGAGCTGAAGTAAGGAGCACAAGAAAAGTTTTCAACTATGTGAAATCATATCAAAGAGGATTAATTGCAGCTTAACTAGAGCAAAGAAACAGCTGTGATTGTGGGTTGTAGAAAAGTGATCTAAGATTAAATATAACTTCTTTGGTTAAAACATTGAGAAATAGCTCAGGTGATGCTGAAGAAAGGTTCCCTAGAGGTTTTAAAGAAGGCAGTGGATGACCTGTTACTGTTAGGAATATGTAAGGATAGGCAATCAAACTCTTGGGTTACTCAATACATACCCTTTGTCTTACAGTTTCATAGGATTATTTTCCTTACAATCAGTACCTATCCTTTTCTTAGCTGTGTATCCCTTCACATATAAACATGAAATTTGTTTTGCAACATAGCAAAATATTTGATCCTGAATGTTGCACTGAAAACATATACAATGGCATTCACCTTGGTATCTTACAGCAATTTTCATTTATGTAGGAAAAACATGAGTTTGGAAGCAGTTCTTGATTAGACGTTTGACTTTGCCATAAGCAGGGTAGGAGTAAAGAATCAATCTCTGTTGATAAGATCGCTGCATGTAGTAACCTAAGAATAATGCTGATTCACGGCTGTCATTCTGCACATGAAAGTAACCTTTGTGGAGATGATACAGACAGCTCTGGGTCCCACAGTTGCTAGGAAACTTAATAAAAGCAGGGTAGTGTGGATGCAACATGATGAAGAGCAGCAATCCAGGATATTGAGAATCATTCTGCTGGTACTTCCTGTTTTAGAATATCAGGAAATGGAAGAAAGTTTTCAGTCCTTCTACTTCGTATGTGGATGAGTGTGCATGTGGATCTGTGTCAGTACATTTCTGTACCTATGTCACTAGAACTTATAAATCTGTCACCAACATGAAAACTACATCCTAATTTGGGATTGTGTAGGTTGGGATGCTATCCCTGTTACAATAGTTATAAGAGGGAAAACATGGTATTAAATAACTGGGTCTGTGTCCCTAGTTTGGCTCTCTTTCATGAGCATCCTTGTGTTGTCTACTTCTGATCTCCACCAAACTCTGGCCTGTATAGGCCTTTAGGGTCCTGTGTGCTTTCTGTTAATATCTTGTCCACAGTGGAATCACTCATCTCTGCTCAATAGGCTTGTGAATCTGCTATGATTTGAAAGGATCCGGTTAACCAGGAAGTGGGCAGGGCTTACCCATGAATGGATCTTGTGTCTGGTGTGGACCACATGCCCCTCAGCTACAGTCTACATGATTGAGCAGGTGAAGCCACAGCACTCCTTCAAGAAGATGAGGCTTGTCTTTGTTACATAGGGTGGAGAGGTTTGCTGTCCTCTTGATGTCACCTTCTTTTCTTTTACAGGAGCTATGAAGAAACCATAAGAACAGCACTTGACATACAGCTCTGGAGAATGAACTACAAATTGATCGAGGGGAAAGGGGTCTCTCTGTTGTCCAAGCAATTCATTAGGAAAGAGAGTACTGGTGCTGGGTCAGAACTAACTGATGAGTATCTTAAGTATTCACAGAGGTGTAAATGCCCTTAATCAAGCAGTTGCAAAAATCACAGCTAATCTTATCTCCATTAAAATGCTGCACTGGTCAGTCTCCCACCTTCAATATTGCTCCTGTTTTGGGCATTACATTTTTTGAATGACTCAGAGAGGTTGATTGCATTATTCCATTGGCCAACAGTGACATATGGTTGCAAAAAATGTAAATGCAATCAACAGCATTAAACTTGTTTTAATCAAGAACAGTAATTATTCTATTGTTCAAACTCCATCCTGAGTACTGTGTCCAGTTTCAGGCATCACACTTTAAGAAGGATTTAGAGAAGCTGGTTCAAAGAAAGCCTGTAAGGATGATCAGAGGACTAGAAACATAAACCTATGAAAAAAGATTATGGCATATTTAACCTTGGAAAAAATGACTGTGGGGATGTGAATAGCATTCTTCCAATATCTGGAAGAGTAAAAGCAAGTCCAGACCTGTTATCTCTCATTTTAGAATGCAGGGATTGTCATTATAAAAAGCCAATCCTGGAAGAAAGTTAGAAGAAAATGATGATCTCTGCATAAGCAGACAGCAGAAGCAATTATCCAGAAAGATGGTGGGTTTCCTGTTATTGGGGGTATGGAAGAAGCAGCTGGATAACCATCTGTCTCGGACACTTTAATTTGGATTGTTGGACAGAGACCAGAGTTGAACTCAATGGCCTAAACCAGTGATGGTTTAGTGCCCAAACTGCAGGCGCATGCCCAAACTGACATGTGCTGACATGCGCATGCGCAGACGTGTGCACGTGCATGCAGTGATGTGCACATGCACATGCATGGACATGCACGCATGCATAGCAGAGACCCGAAGACCAGTTGGCCGGTGGGAGGTGGGGCACCCACAGCGTGGCAAGAGGTGAGATATTTTTCTTTCGTGAGCTTCTGTTTTGTCATTTGCAGGGAAACAGAAGCTCACGAAAGAAACGCCACCGAGATCTGACCTGGGGCGCAGAACATAATATGAATATAAGTATATGCAGAATAAAGTACAGCCAATAATGCAAACTCACTGATTTTGCTTAATACTATGCAGATTTCTTTCTCTCTCTCTTTGAATAAAGCATGGACACCTTATCTTGTCCATAAAAAAAGGGAGAGACAACTCCATATTCATGAGTACCTACTTGTTTTCAGAAGGCAGGTTTTGGAAAGCTTGTTCTTTAAAAATTCAGCCATTTCCTTATCTTCTTCTCGTTCTCTGTGAAAAGAAGAAACTGCATCAAAGAATAAGCAGTCATTCCTTAGGTCTGAAAGGACAATTACAAAGCAAGTGAAGTCTGAGTGATGGCTCTCCAAATCTCTGTGAAAGAGGAAGCTACTTTTCTTTGATTCTTGAATTTTCATATTTAGAGTAGTAAATAAATTCCCATTGATTGGCAGGACAACCAAGGAAGGTACTTCAGTGGGATTTAAAAGTGTCTGATCACTGGCTATATATATTTGTTTCTTGTCCTTTTATAAAATATTTCAAAATTCACAGAACCTCAAAGAACCAATTAAGATGTTTGGGGTAATACGTTGGCTTTCTTGGGAAGACAACTTCTGATTTTGCTAAGATTGTATTCCTGCCTTGATTACTTTTCTGTATAGGTAGTCCTCAACTTATGACCACAACAAGTCCAAAATTTCCATTGCTAAGCAAGACAATTATTAAATGCGATTTGTTCCATTTTACAACTTTTCTTGCAGTGAATCACTGCAGTTGTTAAGTTAGTAACTTAAGAGAATCTGGCTTCCCCGTTGACTCTGCTTGTCAGAAGATCACCAAAAATGATCACATGACCCTGGAACACTGCGACCATCATAAAACATGCCAATTGCCATGCTTCCAAAGTTTGATCACATGACATGGGGATGCTACAATAGTCATAAGCATGAAAAATGATCATAACTCGCTTTTTCAGTGCCATTTTAACTTCAAAAAATCACTAAAAGAATGGTCGTAAGTCGAGAACTTCCTATAATCAACTCCTATTGCCACATTTCCTTTGGCAAAGTCCGAACAGTGCTTTTAACAGAATGGTATGATTAATGCAAAACTGAAGGTAATACAGTACAGAAAAGAAGTGAAAAAAATTCTGGCTTTGTGTCCAAACTGTTCAGAAAGCAAACTGAGAGTCTCTGCAAAGTACAGTATAAAACATATAAAACATTGGCCTTTTGGCAGCAACCGTGTCCAACTCAGTTCCCCACTGATGGATTAGGATCCCAAAATCACAATTGACCCTTCCGAATCTACATCTTTCTAGTGCATTTTTCTGCATCCTGACATCTACTAGCTTTGCTGGACTGCAATTCCCAGAAATGCTAATTATTGACAATGCTGGTTTGGAATTCTGGGAGTTGTAGTAATACTGGGCTTCAGCTTTGAAGTGTTATTATAGGAATAAAAAGGAATAACTACTATGTGTTTGCTTGGAATGTTTGCAGGATTGGGGCAACATAACGTAATCAAGAAAATTGCAGGAAGTTGGCATGTTTACCTGAGCCTTTCAAACTCTACATCATCCACAAGGAAATCCCGAGTCTCCACAAGTTTATGAATTTGTTGCACTAACTCCTCCTCCTTCTGTTTGTCTTCTTTTGATTTTCTATTTTCTGCAGGATGGGGAAAATACATGTACAGATATGTTTATTGTAAAAAACTTTTTCAGGTAAGATGAAGAAGATAATTCTCAGAGTGGAGGAATTTCCAGAAAGATTATTGTTTAGATTAGTTTAGATTATCGATTATCAGCGCCCCAGTTGTAGAATATTCCCCCCAAGAAAGTTTTATTTACTTCTTGCCTTCCGAGACAGGAAAATATCGACTTACTGGGTTTTTGAAATCCATATTAATCTTCTTCCCTCTTTATGACATTTTCTTCTTACCTGTTAACTTTTAATTTAATGTGTACTTGTTATATTGGAAATCCTAAAAGGAAAAACAGCTTAGGACACATGGGAAACTCTGAGAAATGAAATACTGAGGGCCCAAACCAAAACAATACTACAGAGAAAAAGAAAAAGAAAAAACACTGGATGAGACCAGCATGGTTGCACAAAGACCTCTCTAACAAGCTGAAGAGCAAGGAGAACAAGTATAAAAAATAAGAACATGAACATTTAACTAAAACACAGTACCAGCAAATAGACCGAATCTACAGGGATGGAGTCAGGCAGGCTAAGGCTCAGAATGAATTAAGTCTTGCAACAAATGCCAAAAATAACAAAAAGAAGTTTCTTTCAATATGTAAGGAACAAGGGGGGGGGGGAGTCAAGGAAATGATCAGTCCACTAATGGGAGAAGATGGTAAAAAGGAGATGGTGAAAGCAGAGTCACTTAAGTCTTTCTTTATACAAAGAAAAGAAAAATAGCCCAACCCAACAAAAGCAGCATATTGTAAGACAGAACAGAAAAGTAGATTAAAAATAGGTAAGAAATTGGTTAAAAAACACCTATCCACTTGAGATGAATTCAGATCATCAGGACCAGATGGTTTATATTCCAGAGAACTGGAAGAGCTGGCAGATGTGAGCTTTTCCAAATATAGCAGAATCCATTGATGGACCTGACCCTCAACAAAATGGTATTCAAATATGGAGCTCATAGGCCACAGACAATTCAATTAAGGCTGCCATGCAGCCTCTTGAACTCTTTTCAACAATTCCTGCTGAATTTGAGTCTTGGGAATCTGCATAATTCTATAGGAAAAACAGTGTCTGATAAATCCTACAGCAGTCGTTGGATCAATCACTCCAAGTATTGGCCTTACCTGGCACTGAAATCAACTTCTGTAACTCCTTTTTCAACCTGCTGATTTCCTTACAAAGCTGGATATCATCCATCCTGCACAAACAGAAACAAAACATAGCCCTGAGCATAAGACAGGGGTGCTTTAGTGCAGTGGTTAAGGCATCAGGTTAGGGAGATCATGATTTCTACCTTGGGTACAAAACCAACTGGATAACCTTGGGCCAGCCATGTTCTCGGCCCTAGGAAGGAAGCAATGGTAACCCTTCTGAAAAACCTTGCCAAGAAAACTGCAGGAACTTATCCAGGCAACCTCCAAGAATTAAACATGATTGGGATAAATTGGGTTTTAAATGTTTTACATAAATTGGATGTCTTAAATTTGTTTTTTTGAGCCCAAATTATTTAATCTATTTTTAATAGTTTTTAACTTTTGTATGTTATTTGTATTTTTATCTTGGCTGTTCACCGCCCTGAGTCCTCCAGGAGTAGGGCGGTATACAAATATGATAAAATAAATAAATAAATAAATAAATGATTGGGTAAAAGAAAAACAAACAAACAGATAAAACCAAAACAGAACTTATTAGAAATGATGAAAGAAAATGGAATAAAAAGCCCAGTGTCTTATTATTGTTGGATATCATCATGAGAGCAAGATTTTTTTATCTGTGCAGAAATTGAAAAATAAAGAAGTTCCAAATGTTGAAGAGTGGATGTTTAAAGTTATGGATTTGAAGGAAAGGCAAAACTTACATTTCTAGAGAGAGAGATAACTACACAAACTTTTATTAAAAACTGAAGTCTCTTATGGATTATATTACAATTGTGGAAAAAAAATAGCTGGATGATCAAGAGTTTTATAAATTAATTAAGGGGAAATAATGGAAAATGTAAATAGTGATACAATACAATCATATAAAAGAATAAGAAATGATTACTGGCTCAGTGAGGAAAGAAGGGCACAAGTGGATGGTATGGGTTTTTCGTTTGTTTTAAGTTAGATGTTCAGTTTTGTACTTGTAGGTTTATGTTTCTATGTATGCTTTTGTATTGTGTATTTATATTTATTTCATGTGTAGAATTTTAATAAAGTTTATATAGAAAGAGAAAGCAATATTTATCAAGCTAAAGTGAACACAGAAACCATACATAATTATGGAAGGCAACGTCTAGGTACTACAAGAAAAGATTGGACTGCCATTTGTCAGAAATGGTGTAGGGTCTCCTGCTTGAGTGGGGGGTTGGACTAGATGACCTATAAGGTCCCTTCCAACTCTGTTAATCTGTTAAACAGTAATTGCCTTATTTCTTCCAAAGGAAAATGACACTGAATTTAAGAGAATCAATCTAAATAAAAAAGTAGATGGAAGATGATAGCTAGCTAAGTAGTGTGTGTGTGTGTGTGTGTGTGTGTGTGTGTGTGTGTGTGTGTGTGTAGGGGTGGTGTCTTTCTGTTGGAGTTTTCAACTATAGTTGGAGGTAGGGGAATGGGGCACAGGACAAGATGTCTGTCTGTCTGTCTGTCTGTCTGTCTGTCTGTTTGGATAATTAGATAGATAGATAGATAGATAGATAGATAGATAGATAGATAGATAGATAGATAGATAGATAGATAGATAGGTGGGTGGGTGGGTACGTAGGTAGATAGGTAGATGATAGGTAGATAGGTAGGTAGGTAGGTAGATAGATAAGTAGATAGGTAGATAGGTAGATAGATATAGACAGGTTGACAGACAGATAAATACCTTGTCCTGTGCCCCATTCCTCTATCTCCAACTATAGTTGAAAACTCCAACTGAAAGAACCCCACTCCACATACACACACACCCTGCGATATGCATAAATATTATATGTAGAGTATATTGTGTGTATTTATACATACTTGCCAGAAATCACACTCAAAGAAAGTGTGCCTGAAACTAAGTAAATATTAGTTAAGTAGTTTGTGATGTGTTGGTTTTTAATTGCTGTTGTTATTTCTGGATGTTTTAATTTGATTATTAAGCCACTCTGAGTTATGTATAGCAAGTGGGCAGGCATATAAATAAATAACAATGCACATTAAGATATGACTATATCTGGACAGCAAAAAAAAAAAAAAGGAAAAGGGATACAAGCTATTCACACATACTTCTTCACAATTACTGCATTAGTTAAGTGTAGGAAAACTACATTCCACTTATCAAAACTTCTGCAACTTTCTCTCCTTTGAAATAATTTTCAACCTTTGTTCAGTAAAAATGAATGAAAATTAATAGAAAAAAATGCAGGCGAATGTATGTGCTAAGCCAAAGGCAAAAACAAAAACAAATAAATGATGCATGTAAAAGATGCCAGGCTGAGCAAGACTGCACAGTCTGAAGGAGCTATCCATGGTTCTGACCAAGGAGAAAGGCCAACGTTTTAGAATTGATATCCCATTAAGTAAATCTATAGCAATAGCACTTAGACTTATAAACCGCTTTACAGTGCTTTACAGCCCTCTCTAAGCGGTTTACAGAGTCAGCACATTGCCCCCAACAATTTGGGTCCTCTTTTTACCCACCTCGTAAGGATGGAAGGCTGAATCAACCTTGAGCCTGGTGAGATTTGAACTGCCAAATTGCAGGCAGCCAGCAGTCAGCAGAAGTAGCCTGCAGTACTGCACTCTAACCAATGTGCCACACACTGTAAATTTTTAAATCTTTTTGTAACACTGCATTACATGTAGGAGTAAACTCTGATGAGCCTAAGGTTATGAAGTCTGGGTCGATATGTCTATCATTGTACTGAACATTCATTTTTACACAGCTGATCTGTATAATTTAAAAGAAAAAATGTACACTGGCTAGAATCACCTTTTAAAATGATTGCCTCTTGCTCTTTCTGTCTGCTTATCAAATTTAGATATCACCCATCTTACTCTAAGAGTGACTCTGGGCAGTTTACAGACAAAAGCTTTAAAAATCATATAAAAACATAGTACATACCAAGATCAGTGAAATGGGAGCCAAGTAAAAACACAGCAAAAATAAATTAAAAGACTATACAAGGCAGTAAAAGTCTTCAGGTCTCTAACCACCTTCAGATTTGTATGCCCCTCTTTGAGCTCCATGTGAGTTGGTAGAGCCAAGTCTTCATTTTTCTGAAAGGCCAGGAAAAGGGGGGGGGCATTTAATCTCTGGGGGAAGGATGTTTCATAGGGCAGGGGCAATAGCAGAAAGGGTCTCTTCCTAGACCCTGCCAATTGGGATTCTTTAACTGATGTGGTCTGCAACATACCTTGCTTGCTAAGTCCAGAACTTGGAATAGAGTCATCTTTAGCCTCAGAATTCACAGCTTAATTGCTTCCAGTATGGAGTGATTGAAAGCCAGAAGGAAATAATGCTCTAGTAAAAGAATTGGAGTTACAGAAATGTATCCTTAACCATTCCAAGTCTCAGTTTTAGAAAATTAGCTCTTACTGATGAGACAGCAAAGAGAAAGGTTGTGGCATGACACAAATATGAAGTCCTTCTCTCACAGTGCCTTAAGGCTATAGGCTGTTCAGGCTAATCAGAACATACTGGTCTGGTTTCTTGTTTTTATAATCATGCTGTCCATGTTTGAACTCTTGAAGATATTCAAAGTGACAAGTTTAAAGGAAAATGTTCAGCTGACAAAAGGGATATTTTCACAGATATGACATATTAGTGAAATCTCTCTCTCTCTCCCTATCTCCCTCCCTCCCCCCTCTCTCTCAAATATGTGAAAGACAGGAGGGTTAAGGGATAGAAAAATAGTAACCTAATCCATGCTTTTCTGAGGTATGCAACTTAGTCAGCTGCCTGAGCTAATATTCTGTTCCATATACTATATAAATCCTTTGAAAACATTGCTACTCTCTGAGTTCTTTCCAAACCAGCTTGTCATCACAGAAACCTCTGAAATTTCTGGGGCAGGTTGAACAATGTAGGCTTTGAGGAAGTGAAGTTGGTTTGATTCTGTTGAGAGATTCTTCTCATGCAATGAAGCCTACCATTATTCTGAGGAATGATGTTGCAGGTGCGGGGATTGAAGAGTGTAAAGACATGTTCAAAATTGCATGGAGGGAAAAAAGCTGTTGAGTTGATAGGATGAAAGAAAAGGAAGGGAGAAGGAGGAAAATCTGGCAAGAGAATTCAACACTACCTGTTTCTTGCTACCTTACAAACTTGGAAAATGATACTCCTCTCCATCACCTGAAGCAGTGGTGGGTTTCAAATTTTTTTTACTACCGGTTCTGTAGGTGTGGCTTGGTGGGTGTGGTGTGGCTTGGTGGGTGTGGCTTGGTGGGCATGGCAGGGGAAGGATACTGTAAAATCTCCATTCCCACCCCGTTCCAGAGGAAGCATACTGTAAAATCTCCATTCTCACCCCACTCCAGGAGAAGGTTACTGCAAAATCCCCATTTCCTCCCAATCAGCTGCGACTTGGGAGGCAGAGAACAGATGGGGGTGGGGCCAGTCAGAATTTTTACTACCAGTTCTCTGAACTACTCAAAATTTCCGCTACCGGTTCTCCCAAACTGGTCAGAACCTGCTGAAACCCACCTCTGACCTGAAGCCTTACATACTGTATCACTCATACACACACAGAAGACCCAGTTTTCCCAATTTCCAACTCACATGTACCGGAGTTCTGACTCTCTCCGCACAAGAACTTCTCTGATTCTCTCAATTTTGAAAAGTTCTCCTTCGATGTCATCAATGGTATCTGTAGAGTCAGCCATGGAAACTATTTCTTCCCCTGAAGAAATAACAGACAAGAAAACCAGTTAGTGAGAAGGATGGAGGAGAAGAAAGGAAGGTCTAACATCACCCAATCCCTTGAGTCAGCAGGCTGAAGATTAGTGTTACCAGCACTTTAAGGAATTATAATTGCATGGAACCCAATCAGTCTTTTTTTGTGAGCTACTCAGGTTGCTTGTATATTACGATAGTCAGCCACATAAATATTTACAATAATAAGAAACAAAACAATTCTTCCTTAGTATAGTAATCTTCAACATTGTAAGAACTGTCATTCCTAATTTTACCTCTTTCCCCATGACACTGATCTTCTTTCATCTCCAAACCATGGTTTCCACAGCATTATCCTCCATAGTTTCCTAGCTTATACCTGTCCTTTCCATCACGAAGGACTTTTAAAAAACATTGCCCACTCCTGCTGAAAAGGAGACCACAGGGATTCCTACTACTATTTATAAGGTGGTGAGAGGGTTTCCCATGGGACTATTGGATCCTGAATACAATATTCCTTACCTCCATCATGCTAGAATGGTGTAGCAAATTCCATTTGTTCCCTATCCCCAAGTCTGGCCTTGTCTCATTCCTAGGCCTTGATTTATCCTGTTTTATCTTGCTGTTTGCTGCATTGCTAAATGCCCACCAGTTCCAAAATAAAGAAAATGAAGAGAGCCAGGAGGTCATTGCTATGCCAGCAGCTTTTTCTGTTGCTTTTTCTGTAAAGATCATTAGTGAGAAAAGGATGGTTGCTCCTAGGTTGAAATACTTGGTCTATGTTGATATCTCCCTACCTCAATGTTTTAGACTTCAGTTTTTGGATTCTGAATTAAAGTATTCAACCTCCTACCAGGATTTCAATTGGACCTAAAGCAAAATGCTCAAATGGCAAATAAGGGCTAAAGACATGGAACCACACTGAAACTCTGGGAGAATTTCTAGCATTTCCTCCAATCCAGAAGTTGAAGGGATGTCAACCATAGAGTGGCTCCTCCCTCCCTTCTTCTGTCCCTCCCTTCCTCCCTTCAACACATTTTCAAGAATTTAACATAATCTTAGAATCTCAACTCTAAGTTTACAGCGAATGTGCTTGCCTTCACACTTATTCACATTATTTCCCTGGGGAATCATTGAAATGAAACGTATTATTAGAAAATGAAATGCCTGAATAGGTCTTTTTTTTCCCTAAGGGTGAATAGAAACAAGCCTTTTTATTGGGTCAAAGAAGAAGCCCCCCTCTCTTTAAATAAAACCCAACAGGGAGCAACAATTATAACACACCTATCAGTGAAGAGGATGCCTTGATAATAAGGATGTTCTCTCTCTGAAGTTTTTATCATTGGTTTTTAAATGCTAACGTGCCCTTTGTGTTCCTTCATGAATGGCTATAGCTCAGCAGGAAAGTATATGCTTGGCATACCCAAGAACCCAGATTCAATTCTTGACCTCTCCAGAAAGGACAAAGAAGCACTGCTGTCTTTAAATCATTGCCAGTAATACTGTGCAAGATGGACTGACTGCCTGGCCTAGAATCATCAGCTTCTTAGGTTTCCAAGTTCTCCCAACCTCACCCCACTCACCTTGTCAGTATTGCTATTTATTTTTGTTAATTCCTCCCGGGAAATGATTCTGATGAAAGTTGGTGGCACATGCATTTTAAAAAAAATAATAAATTATCCAACAGGCTCTTGTGGACAAACTGAAACAGTAGGCATGAGTTACAAGTGACCCACCTCCACCCCAAAATCAGATTCCCTCGATTTGAGTTCTGAAATCCTTGGATCAGCTTTGCCAAATATGACTTGTGTGGAGAGAGAAGCAAGTTTGTAACTTCGTTACCTTTATGCAAACCCTAAGGTCAGTAGTGCCATCCTTCTTTACTACATAAAAGCTTGTTTGACATGTACAGTACAATCAGAGGTCAGTAATAAGATCGGCATTTCATTGTTGGAGCCAAATGACCTCCCAACTTGGTCTGTACTGGTAGGTCAAGGCAAGCAAAAAGGGCAGAGTTTGAAATCGATTTTGTTGTGTTTGGGAAGAGTTCCTCTAAGCAAAAGACAGGAAAAACTACAAATATCTGTCTTATATGACCTTGGGGAAGAGCAATTGCTTCTAGGTGCCTAGCATTCTGATTAACAGGGGAATGCTCTGGTTTGGGTGCTTCCATCAAATACGAGCCCTGGCACAAATTTCTACTATGCTGGCTGGGGAATTCTGGGAATTAAAGTCCACAAGTCTTAAAAGTTGTCTTAAAAGTCCCCTGGCCTAGGAGATACTCAGATTTCTACATAAACCAAGACATCTCCAAGCATATTAACACTTGATCTGGACCGACTCAAGACTTTTAGTTGTCTTAAGTGAAGCAGCATGAAGATGGAGAGATGACATGCAGCTGTAATGTTCCAAAAATTCCCACAGGTTAATTTAGTTTAGTTTAGTTTAGTTTAGTTTAGTTTAGTTTAGTTTAGTTTAGTTTAGTTTAGTTTAGTTTAGTTGATTTGTATACCGCCCTACTCCCGAAGGACTCAGGGTGGTGAACAGCCACAAGATAAAAACACATAAATACAAAATTTAAAACTGAATAAAACCGAATTAAACAATTTGGCTGAAGACAAATTTAAAACAACCCAATAAATTAAGAACGAATTAAAATTTGCATTTTAAAAAGGGAAAAAAGGGAAAAAATTAGGCCAGGCCAGCCTGATGGAATAAAAAGGTCTTGAGAGCGCGGTGGAAGGTGCGTAGATCCGGGATCCTCCATATCTCCGGGGGGGAGCTCATTCCAAATAGTAGGTGCCCCCACAGTCATTGCAGGAAATACTTGAGTGTCCTCTCAATTTGCATGGAAGAACAGGAAATGGTTCCTTTATTTGGCATGCTGCCAAAATAAAGAGCGGGGTGTCAATATGGAGCTATATTTACTATGAGATGACCCATACTCAGTGCCCTATCTACAGCAAGTGATCAGAGCCACCTTTCAAACTGGCAGGGTCTTCTTTGACATGTAGTTAGGTGAAACTAGCAGATTTCTGAAATGCATGTCCTTACGTCATTTTCTTATCTTGAAACTGTTTTTGTGTTTTATTGCATAAATTTAGTAAAGTGGATGGATAGATGGATGCTTCTCACTCGATTTAATAATATTGCTACATAATTTAAATCCATAATTACAAGAGAAAAGGAGAGGAATAGATGCAGTAGGTCTGTTCTGTCATTAAGCAATGGGAAGTTAGTTTGTCAGAGCTGGCTTATTGCTTTCCCATTCACAAAAATTGGGAGCTTTTCCCTGAAGAAATAAATAATAAATCCTTACTTAGAGTTCAAAACCACATTTGAAAGCAATAATTGAATTCCTTTAGAAAAATAAAGACTATTTTCAGGCATCCTAGTGGAGGATGAAGGTGCTATTTTTCTCGTAACCTCTGAATCATGTGTTTTTAACTTCCAGGGATAATCTGTGGCCCTTCAATTATTCCAAGAGCTTGTTCCCTTGAGTGTTTAATAAACAAACTCCATCCTGCAATGATCTGTTCCAGATCCCTTTGGAAGGGGGGGGTGGGGGTAAAGAGTAACTAAACCTTTGGTTCTCAGCCAGATGTTCTTGCTCATACTTGTCTTCTTTTCTGCCTATCACTACTTAATGCCAAGTTTCTCTGTCTCAATTGCCAGGGAAATAGACAAGTGACCAAGAAGCCCCTCCTGTAATCCACAACATCACCAGCAGCTGGGGGGGGGTATAGGAAGTAGATAGAGGAATGAGCCATCAATCTTCTCTTGACTACTATAAAACTTTCAAGGAATAGGAGACCATGCATAGTTAACACATGAATATCCATGTGTTTAATACCCATGGATACAAACATATATATATATATATACACACATACACACACACAATACTCATACAAACATATATATTTCTCCTGCAGAGGTGCAGGGATTTGTGCCCTGTTGCTAGAGGTAAAGGTCATAGAACTGAGTTGTATTTCAGCAGTGCCCAAGATGTGCAAAGTAAGCTCACCTTTGCCTGAATCTGCTGCAGTCCACTTGGTTGATTCCAGGGATCCATACTGGGTAGATGCCTTGCTCTCCTTTTCCATCTTCGCTCCTTGCTGTGGTTTTTAAAATCCCCCTATTCCCCCTTTTTTAAATGGTCAGAATTCCCTAAGGAGGAGGACTTCTAAGGAGTAGGGATTGCCCCGAAGCTAAGCTCAGCTTTTGATCAAGGAATCATTTAGTGAGGAATCAAAAGAGCATGGATCTCAGCCAAGTCGGGTCCCAGCTTGGCAGCTGCCGCCCACCATCAGTTCATACCGCGATGCTCTTGTACATCTGTCGAGGGATAAAGCAGAATCTGAGGCTGCAGAAAACTAGATGAAGGTCTATTATGACACCGAGAGGTGCCCTCTGGTGGTTAAATAAAAAGCTTTTATTTTTATCATTTGAAAGACTTTCAGAAAAGCAAAACACCCCTATTTATTTATTCCACTGACTTTGTCCCATCTCGTTGCCTGCAACTCAACCACTCAATTTAACTCCATGCAAACAGTATAAAACCACCTGCATAAATATTTCTTTGTTTCTAAATAAATTCAGATAATAGCCATATAGCAAGCTAAGCCCGCCCTAAGTTGCAGATTGCTGCAAGAATTTCCCCAATATTATGACATACCTAAGTCCATTTCTTCCTCAACCTTTTTAGAGAGAGCAAAGAACAAGAATAATCAGACACAAAATGTAAATTTATCTTCAGTTTGGAAGACAGAAGCTTTGTTCTTCTTTCTTTTACTTCTAGTAAGCCTTGAGCTTTATGGCATTTTCCCAACATCAATTTTCAGCAAGTTTTCATTGTGTTCAGCCTCTGGTGGACCCCTCCATGTATTGTTGACATTCCACACTAATCCTTTTAGCTACAAAGGATATGAACTAAAGTCCCACAAGAACAGAGAATTTTCCCCTCTTTATTCTTAACATAATCTTGGTGGAAAATGAACAAAACTCCCAGGTGTCCGCTATCTTTACTTTCTGGTAAGTAGAAAAATTTAAATCTAAGTTTGCTGGGACTTGCAATGACCAAGTGCAATAAAAGAAATTCAGGTTGATTGAAAGCTGGTAAAGATTTCTATTTTTCACCAAAGTCTGCAAGTTCCATCATTTAATATTTATCTGTGAATAACAACAACAACAACAACTATGTCGACAGGTTGTACCTGCCAAGAAGAATAGGTGGCAGAGGGCTATTGCAAGTCCATCAAACTGTAGAAGAAGAAAAGCGAAGTGTGAATGACTGTGTGAACTAAAGTACAGAAAAATTGCTCCAGGCTGTGAAAATGGAGAACATTATTAAAACAACAGAAACAAAGGCAGAATAAAGGAAAAACAGCTAGATGACAGATTAAATAGATGGAAAACCAAAGCTTTGGACAGTATTTGAAAAACATTGAAGAAAAATGTGATAACAACTTGACATGGGCATGGCTTAAGATGGAAACCATCAAGAAAGAAATGGAAGGTTTAATACTCACTGCTCAAAAACAAGCACTACAAACTAATGCCATAAAAATGAAGATATAAAAAACCACAGACAAATCAAACTGTCGACTTTGCAAGTTGAAACTGTTTCACATTTAATATGTGTTTGCAAAATCATGCAAACTGATTACAAAGCTAGACATGACCGAGTTGCTAAACTAATCCACTGGGCATTATATAAAAAACACGACTTACCTGTATCCGAAAAGTCATGGGAACACAAAGTGGAAAAAGTTGTCGAAAATGAGAAGGTGAAGATCTTGTGGACATTTGAATACAGACAGGTCATCATTTAGAACACAACACGCCAGATATCACAGTCATCAAAAACCGAAGCGTACAATTTATTGATATTGCTGTACCAGGAGATGCCAGAGTTGAAGAAAAAGAACTAGAAAAAAAATCACAAAATATCGCAACCTGGCCATTGAAACTACAGTATGTGATTATGGATGAAACATGTGACAGTGATACCTATTGTCATTGGAGCACTTGGTACCATGTCCAAGAATTTTACAAAACACATCAAGAAATTGCAGCTTCCTGCAATAACAGCAGAGGAACTGCAAAAAACTGTGCTACTTGGAACATCATATATTTTAAGAAGATACTTGGTTGAAACATAGGATGCTGGCAGCAATCTGTATCAACCATTAGCACCAGTCAATGGTATTTGTGACACATTTTTAAATGATCAGTTGACTGAGTTTCATGTTTAATGAATAAAAGAGATTATTATTATTAATAATAATAGTAATAATAATAATAATAATAATAATAATAATAATAAGATGATGATGATGATGATGATGATGATGATGATGATGATGATGAACTGGAGAAGATAACAAAATACAAAGACCTACAAATAGAAATAGAACGACTCTGGAAAAGGCAAGCAAGGATAGTACCATTAATAATAGATGTCTTAGGTGCGATCCCAAAACAACTGGAGCACCACTTGAACAAATTTTGCAATCAGTCAATTGCAGAAGGCGGCTTTACTTGGAACAGCTTCCATCCTGCAACGATATCAGTAACACTGTCAAACATCCAGATTTGCCTAACCCAGGTCCTTGGTAAGGACTCGATAGGTAGACAAAAATGCTAAACCCAGTCTGAATATCTGGCTGACTCTGCAATGATCAATCATCATCATCATCATCATCATCATCATCATCATCATCATCATCTAACCCCCTCCCCAAAGTCTCTGTAAGTTGGGTCATATAAAATAAAATATATGGACTGTGTTTACTTATAGCAGCATAAGACAACCCTGGGCCAAGAAGAGAGTCCAATAGTCTCTTGTCACAGCAGGCCCATGGCTGGAAGGGAAACTACCAGTAACTCCTTCACATTTCTTCTCCGCAATAAAGTTTTCTGGCTAAATGGAATAGTTGAAGCTGCCTCAAATAAAGACATGTTCTTTGGCAGCTGCTAGGTAAACACCAAATCCACTTTCCTCGTTTGCAAAATGTGCATATTAGTCATCTTTATGGTGGCTAAACACACACCAGGAATAGAACAGTCTTCATTTTGAGGTGATTTGTTTTGCCATGACCAGGAGTTTAGTTCCTGGAGTAGAGACTTTAAATAGTTACAGCCTTGAATTGTTGACTCTATCAGGACAGTGGGGGAGGAGGGGGGGAGAACTAGTGAAGTACTAGAAGTGTTTTTATTTAAATACACTAATTGTATGTTTGGGAAACAAGAAGGTGGATGGAATTTTAATTTAATTTTGGCTTGGGCTTTTTTGGGTACAGAAAAGGAAACAGGCAGGGAGAGTAATACACTTTCAATGTTGTTTGGAAGTGTATCATTCTATTGCTGTTTGTATGCTGTATGAGTCACTGAATCTACTCTAAAATTTTCATACATGCTCTTGAGCAATGTACAAAAAAAAAGAAGAAGAGAAAAAAGCACAGAACTTCAGTTGGGTCACTTCCTTATTCAAGACAGACCATTGGTGGTGCAGACTGTCATGAAGTTTGGATCTGTATTTCCTCATTGGTCTTCTAGTTAAAACAGCATTAACAATTCCTAGCAATGCTGCAATAATTGAATGCCATTTTCTCTTTTAACATCAGTTTATTATTAGTAGAGATGGTCATTGAACCAAAAAGTAAAGCTGCACTGGATCTTCTAAATTATACTGAGGGTTTTACTATGGCATTGAATTTGAAAGAACACATTCAGAATTTTATAGCACTGAAGCTCAGAAGACATTCTGTTATCACCATGCAATAGTGTATAACGGCTCAGTTATTCAAGCTGCCAAATTTAACCAGAAAACCACATATTGTGACTTGCACCACTGCTTCCCTAAAATCATATTTGAATGCACAGGAAGTCTCAATTGATCCATGAGTAAACCTTTATAAAAAATTTTTATTTCTAATATGTAGTTATTTCATTCGATAATCTATAAGGATTATAGTATGGTTTATTTATTTTTCCAAGGACTTTATTTGGTTAATTAGGGAACAATCCTATCACATGCTAGATAACAGGGCTGTTAACTGAAGTGTATTGATCTTGTTTTGGGGATATGCTTTACCTTTTCTGTTAATTGGCACAAAATGATTAAATGTAACTATGATATAGGAGATGACCAGGCTGAGCCCGAGGGAGGGGTCAAACATATCATATGACACTCCCTCAAAAGAGCTAAGTCCAGCCGACCTTGAATGCCTTTCTTATCTCCCGCTCATTTCCCTTGACCGCTAGTTGGTCAAATTCTTGTAGAGAATGTGCAATAAATATACTCATTTGAATTGCCTGAATCTCTGGTTTTCCCTGGCGCTTGACATATGATTATCAATAAATTTTGTTTTTTCCTATGTTTTTTCCAGCTGAGCTGTAATTTATATCAATAAATATATATTAAATAAATAAATATAAATTACAGCTCAACTGGAAAAAACACAGGTTTAATGAAAGTTTAGACTGCTGAGTGAAAAACATGTTTTTGAGTGAACAATATGCTCCAGCAGTCTCCCCCCCACCCCATCCTTTGGTTGTTGTTCCTCAAAATTTTTGAGCTAACTCCTAGTTTATGTTATATAAAATCATTAAACACATGGTTTAGATTTCTCAGAAGCCATGTCTGAATTCCTAAAGCTATTGTGCAGAATGAAATGAATTTCCGTTGCCTTGAACGTTGTCTTTATTTAGGAGGAGAACATGTTGTCCAGCTCATCCGCCCTTTTGTGTTTATGAAGAAGTAGATAACATAATACTTTTGTGAAAGTTACAAACTCTAAATGTGCCATTAGAGCAAAGGAGTTCGAGCACCAGCTGAGGCCCTGCAGTAAATTCAAGGAAAGATGCACGGTAGCACAGAAACACTTGACATACCTAGACTTCTGACAACCAATTGTCCAAGCAATTCAAGTATGTCTTAAATTCAGCTTGGAATATTTAAGACCATTTCTATATATGTTACTTTCTTAATAGGAGCATTTGAAGCTGAACTGCCTCTGCAAGCAACACATCCTTTGTCTTTCTTTCTTAACTTGTCCAGAACTAACTTCTACTGTTTCTTCAGGCAGAGAAAGACTGTTAAAATGTTAACCAGTGAATGGTGGAAGATTCATAACGGTCAAAAGTATTTTTCTTCACACTTCATACAGTTAAATTATCAGAAGTTATAATGGCTAAAGCACTTTTTATACTGTGATAATTATGAAATATTGCTTAACATCAATTGTAAAGTTGTATAATTGGGAAAGATTGATGCTTGTGGTCTTTCTCTAGGACAAGAATGGATATCCCAGAATCCTCTGCTTCTCT